ATAATATATATACACACGTAATTTTTCATTGCAAAGTCAATGACAATGTTTTAAGTTCTTAGTTATCATGGTATTGCAAATTCGTAGATCTACAAATGAGATTCGTATTACCGTTGCGATCTCACGCATTCTCTCGAGAAATTTTAGTATATTAAAAATACGCTAAAGTTTCATCGTACCAATTCGCGTGTGGCCTAACTGTATAGACTCTAAAATATACATTTATATGTTAAAACATCTGTAATATATACATTAGAGTTATAATTAATAATTGTAAAGCGTTCTTAGAATTATGAGATTCATATACAGAATACTTCATAAATATATTGAAATGTTGCTTATTTGGTTCTCGTGATCATGAAGATCCTCCGAAGATTTTAACTCGACAAAATAGTTTATAAACACGAATATATTCGATCAGTTTCATAACATACTTAAAAAATCATTCTACTGTACAGTTAACAACATGATTATCGTATCCTCAATTGATAAATGTCTCAAATACTTCCTATTTCAATATAATCTTGTACCGGTTTGTAATAAATGGTTGGATGCTATCTACTGGGTCGTTGTTCCTCCACAAGCGCTATCAATCGTTGTCGTGTTTTTTTATTGTTTTGGCACGTCGCCGAAATCAGTCCGACTAAATGTTTCACTGAATATTCCTGCAAGACATGTCCATCAAGCATTTTGTATGTTACTATTATAGGTAGAGAATAAAAAATTGCCAGTGTCTCGCAATCGCGTATAGTTACCTTGTGCTCCTTAATCCATTCTTCGAAGCTATTTTCGGGAAGATAGTACGCTTTAATATACAATTCAACATATTCCCTATGCGGCATAGGTCTTAACGATGTTATTTTTTCGAATTTTGATTTTAACTGTGTGAAATCGAGTTGCATCAAAGCTCTACCGCCATTCGAACACTTCTTAGCATTGGAAAACCTAGACAGTATTATGTTTCTATTAATTCGATTTAATTATTTCAAAACATTAAATATTTTTCGAAGGATGATAAGTTTCTTATACCCTTCCACTAAGGTGTGAGTAATTAAATGAGCCACGTTTTCCCATACTGCGTTACATATATCCGCATTTAAAGGAATGTATGTTCCAATAGTGTTAAGTCTTTCATTCAGAGTGCACACTTCCTAAAAAAAATGTCAAACGATAATTTCCAATATTACAAATAAAGTTTCGCTTAACAAATAACGAGACATACTTGGATAAGTGCGTCGATGTAATTACTATGTTGAGACATAACGTCGGTTACTTCCCAATTGACCTTGTTCATTAAATTCAAAATGTTTGCAACGTCAAACGTTTGCGATATTACCGCCATATAGACTGGCTTTCTCAAGTCTATGGTGGATGCTATTGTTTGCATATAAAACTGATGCAAAAATCCTCTTTGAGGACTGCTGGCAATAAGATGCTCTAAATAAGGCCTTAGACCTTCATATTGTTGTCCTAAAAATATCAGAGACTCGACAGCCACAATACGTTCCGTTAATCCGTGGAGTTTCTCAGGCTGTGACAAATTCACAATGGATGAAAGCTGTGGTTGTCTTACTTTATCGTAATTCGCATTGCCATTTTCTTCCATTGTATCATTCTCAGAGATAATCAAAGTTTCTCTGATTCGCGCTAAGGATAATTTTAATTTCGGACTGTATAACGAGTCGCTATTAATTTGCTGAAAAAATAAAGAATCATTTTTAAATCGTGTCCTAGGCACGTGAGTATGGTTAAGAATCATAATATGAACTTACAAGATCCGATGTAAAGAATAAGTGTACTGTATAGAAGCATAGCTCGAAAAATTGTATCATGCTTTGTATGACAGTAACCGCGATCGATCGCAAAAGCTTCGACATCTGTAGATATTTGCCGCACACTCTTAGTATGCTTAATGTCGTGTTTGTGACCATAGGTCCAGACTGTTTGAGCTTGCATTTCTTTTTGTTACTTTTCGTATAGTCCAATTCATCCACATACTCGTGCTTCAGTTCATCAGGAATATCCTCATCGGATTCATCCGAAAAATATGCTGGTTGCTCGACCTAGATAAAAATGCGCAAAGGCATTAGTATACGACCAGCATTAGATAATTAAAATGTTAGCATAATGATTTTCGTACATCATCGTTTATTAAAATATCTTCATCCATGGTATCATCCAATCCTACTGTGAACGGTGACGATCCACCCTCAAGATATTTCTGCAGATCGATTCCAGTAGAATTATCACTGTCACTTAAAGTAGAACTGTCTAAACTATTCCACGCTTTACAGTTATTAAGCGAAGGTTTCAAACTTCGAAACTCTAATAATTGGGTAGCCATAAAATCGGATTTCACGGGGCATAACTCCCAGCCGTCATGTTCCAAGAACATTTTCAATTCATCTAAACGAGATGCGTGATAATGAGAAAAGTAAGATAGGGACTGTTTCTTTATGGACTCCTGCAAATTTTCGGATTTGAAACTACAGAGTTCCTCCCCAATTTCCATTAGCCTATTAACAGAACGTTCAAGGACAATTCATTTATTTAGCAATAGCTAATAAAATCGTTATATGTTATCAATTTGCTTACCTGTTGACTATGCCCAATATTTGAACAAACTGCTCAAATTTAGTATTGGTTAAATCTGTATTCATCAAATAAACTGATATCTTCATTTCCACATCATGCCATACTCGGACGATACCGTTCTCCAATTTGTGTTTGACGTATTGCTTGCTTAAAGTCGCCTCCAAATCTTTAACATCGGATTTACCCTCGATTTTATCTTCCTGCGTATTATGCCAATTTACAATTAAATGATATGAGTTCAGTATTGTCCACAGTGATTTACACAGTTCCGTGAGACAAGCTATGCACTTCTCACGAGACACAGCCTGACACAGTTGTTTATATTGTCTTTTCACATCGCCTCCCGCGTAGCGATGGACAACGGCAGACGCCGTGTTATGAATGGCAGCGGTGAAATGCATGTGCAATTGATCCATGGCAAATTGTGTCTTTCCTAATAATGTATATGCTTCCTGAATAGAAGAATACACCGCGACATCAAATTCAGTACACATTTTAGAGAGTGTATTGTCTAAGGTTCTCTCTGCTTGATCCAAAATATTTTGCAGGTTTGTATTTAGCTCGGCGATACAGTGAAAATGTTTGTAAGTCTGAGCGGCACTCTGGCATTCCAAAAGAAGTGATATGGCTCCAGGATAATTTCCTTTATTCAGAAGCTCCTGCAGACGATCCCCTGTACATTGCTAATATAATATAGCAATTAGATTTATGTATGCATAAAATAATCTTCCGTTCGTTTATTTTTTTTAAACACAAATATAGAACAAAAACTAACTTACCAATGTCTTTATAGTATTTAAATTATTTAATAATTCCTGGGTCGCTTGTCGTCTCTGATAATTTGCTAACATGCCCAAGCTCGCTTTAGTAAATTGTTCCTCGGCTAATTTCAGATCTGTCCTTCCTATTTTACATATTTCTAGGACGTTTTGTAGCTGATCTTGCAACAACAGAATCTTATCGAATTCCGCTTCACAAGCGCTCTGCTTCTGCAGAATAAGCTGCAACACTTTCTTGGAAACGACTTGATGTTGCTGCTTGAGTTTTTTATAACACTTTTCAATTTCCTTGGAGTGCAATATCGTTGGCAGTTTCTCCAGTTCGTAGCGTGACGAATCGAAATTATCAGCAACATTGAAGTAAACATCTTCAATAGAATCTAATATATCCTGATCAGGTACAGGCTCACTCTCTGTCGACTGATCGGCCTCGGAACAAAGATCTTCACTTTTTTGCAAATCAGGAGGATTAAGTAGATCGGGATTCAAGCCCATGAGCGGCACTTTGGTTGCATTCTAAAAGAGCAACAAATAATTACGGATTTTATTTATTCTAAGAGTAAAACATATACTTTTAAACCGAATATTGCTTTCTTCAATTTTTAGTTAATTGTCAAGAACAGATAATGCAAATTTGTCATAATTAAACGAATATTTCTTTCAAATATGTACAGTTGATTGTATTTATGCCTAAATTAAATATATTTGTTATCTATTATATAAAATAAGTATATCGTATGATAACGCGACTGATATCGAGTCGCCGATATTTTAAAAATTGCTGCCCTATCAGCAATGGTCGTCGTTAAAATTCAATTAAGGAGATAAGAGAAATAAGAAGCAACGCAACGCGATGCGACGTTTGACAGCGAGACGTCAGGCGCGATATTGTACACATCACTTCCGAGTCGTGACATAACCTAACTCCCAAGGTAGCGCAGCGGAAAGCGTTTGCACCTGGTGCGTTACGGTACTCGCGCGGTGCGCACGTGAACATTGGGCTTGCCTGCTTGTTAATGAGACCGAAAAATTTGATCTTCAAGTCCTCCATGATATCGGACTGCATCGCGCGCACCGTCAGGCCAGACGCATTCTCGTCTGTTTACACGACTGCGATCGGCTGGTGCGCCCTGCGTTACTGTGACATTTCTGAGAAGCCAGGGGCGGCGTAATAAATCACGGTCGAACAACGTCGATGGCCTCCTTCTTTTTAACATTCTTTAATCGGATTCCAATCCTTGGAAAAGAAAGAGAGAAAAGACAAATTGTCCGCCCTTGTTCCATGCGTACCTGTGAAGACAAGCGACAACAAGTCGTCAAAAAGTCGATAATGTCCGTTTCAAGTTGGTCAAGTGTACGTCGATATTTGTATACATACCTTGTGGCACGCAGAGAGAATTTCAAGATAGTGGATCCTGCGAACGCTGCTACATTCAGGTACGTGTGAAGTTTTAAATCGACTTGTCTCGATTTTTATATCTATGGCGTCATTCCCTATCGGGTTTATAATTATAATGTTACGATAGAAATAGAAAAAAGGGAAAGATATGCGTAATAAAATTCTTGGTTGGATCCCAAACGTGAGATCTTATAGATACACGCTAAGAATGTATATTTGTATTGAGCAATCTTCATTCTTAAGACAGATTAAAAATAAAATGGAGAAACTGCGATTAATTGTAATTGCATACGATATGTAGAATGTATTTTACTCAACTTTAAAAATAAAAATGTAAATATATAATGTAATAAATAATTAAAGATAATTTATTTAATTTTATGAAAAAAAGGAAAAGGAATGCTGAAGAAGGAAGCGACGCAAAAGTTTGCAGAATCGTTTTATGATAATAAAGCGATAAAAGAACTTTTTCTACAAACAACGTTTTTAAATAAACATTCTTGTTTTTATTGTAAAAGTTATACATTGAAAAAACTTCTACTTCTATCGTTATAAAAATATATTAAGCAAAACTGAATAAAAGATAAAAGAAATATTGGTAACTATGAACTTTGCTTATCGATGCCGTATGTACGGAAGAATCGCACCCTGAAGGGTAAAGAAAGAAAAAAGATGAAGAAGAGCAAAATGAAAGCACGCGTGGGAAGCGCTAATCCAGGTAATAGCTTGGATAACCGACGAATAACCGCGGTTCATTTCTCCGAGAGATCTAATAAATAGAACCTTTCAGGTTTTATAAAATCCATCGCTGAGTTAAATTAAAAGCTAAATTAAAACAGCTATAGAGAGGAAGAATTTTATTTTCGAACAAGCGTAATAGCGAACAGGCGTTATATCGTACGTTCATAAATTTATTTTTATATTCATTCAGACACGACATAATTGTTGCTCTTTTATTATCGAAGTCTTATGTCCATACGTCTACCAACGTAGATTAATTTTAATTTTGGCTTAATTCACTCTTTATCTTTGTTTAATTCTTAGAACTAAAAAAAAGATAAAAGGTAAGTTTGACCAAGATTAAAATAATCTACATTGATAAAAATAAACATTTCTTTTTATTGGCATTGATACCAAGGCTTGCTTATTTTTTCATCTGTCATCATATACATTACAGGTCAAGTCTATTATGAAATTCTTTTTAACAATTCAAAACAACAAGAACGAGATATCTTCATTTAAAGTATCATGAAATAATCTGTGCAAATTCCGAGTGTTCATTCTTTGAAAGTAATCGATATCACCGGCGATGTTTTATCGCGGTAAATGGCGGTCTTTGGCATTACGAGACAGTTATTAAATCTTTATTGTCGTCAGGACGAGACGTGTCCGAGACAGGTACCGGCGCGCCGATTTAAGTAGTTGTCATCATGCTACTTAAGAGCGTCGAGTAATTACAGCGTTTCCTCGGCTGGATAACGACGGATTCGCTATGAAATTGCAGCGATAATAATACTTGGCAGTTAAAAGTATCTTGTAAAGACAGGCGAAAGTTATCTGTCGGGCGAAGACAGGGGTGTAACGACGAATTCAGGGACAGGGCGTAATGAGGGAGGACACTCTAGACGTGAGAAGGACGGAAGGGAGGGAGAAAGAGGGCGAAAATTAGCACGTCGATTATAGGGAAATTTAATGCGAAGAGGAAGCAACGGGGCAGTGGCGAAAAAAAAATGAAATATGGAAATACGAATACGTATCGTAATCCACCCCTTGTTTACGCCACTGGGCGATGAGGGGTTGAAATCGATGCGACTGGACGCAACGGCGAGCGTAGGTGTTCCAGGGTAGACCTGCGATCTCGCGCTTCCCGATTGGCCGTATCCGGCGTAACCCAATGGCGGATTGGCCGTGCCGATCTCCCACGCTCTTTCTCCGCCCTCCCCCTCCCTCTCCGCCAGTCAGCAACGCGAGCCGGCTGCAGGTGAGAGCGCATGGCGCAGGTGTGTTCACAGTGGCTGTGCACCCCATCAGGCGCCTAGCGAGGGATAAGCGTTTCTTCTTCTTACATAGTGTAAGCGAGAGAAGGAGGTGGCGAGAGAGACAGAGAGAGAGAGAGAGAGTGCGGAGCGCAGCCCGAGGGAGCGTGATACCAGAAGGATTCTGGGAAAGGGCGAAACGAAGTGGGTGGTGGGAGCGACCCCGCCGCGCCGTTAATACTCGCGCCCACGCATACAGACGCAGCGCAGCCGAAACAGCGGAGGAGTGCTCTCGGGGCGAGGGACCTTGCGCGAGCCACCCCGAGGAGTTACTCGAACCTTGGTGGCGCATCAGGTACCAGCGGGCAAGCGAGCGAGCGAGGGAGCAAGGGTGATTCTCGCGAGGGTGACAGTATACTGCCGGGTTTGCGTTCGCGAGGAAGAACCGAGGATTCTTCGGGGAGAAGAGAGTCAGCCTCCCAAGAACAAGAAGTGAGGGAGGAAGAGATCCCAAACTCGAAATCCGCCGTCGCCGTCGTCGCAGCAGCGGAAGAAGAGAAAGAAAAGGGAGCATCTGTCTGCAACCCCTCCCCCCCCCCTAAAAAGCGCGAAACCAGGATGGTACGGAGATTCTGCAACGGTGCGGTTGCACTTGGCATCGCCCTGACGGCCTGCGCCGCTTTTCCGCGCGCCGTCATGGCGATCGACCTCAGCCGCTTCTACGGGCACTTCAACACGAAACGCTCGGGTAAGTGACGACGGAGTCTTCGGCACAAATCGCAGAACTACTAGGGGGAATGTCGCGGGACGACGGTGAGAGCTCTCCTTTGCGGGCGCGCACCTTCGAGAAAACACGATTCCAAGCTGCCGACTGTGCCGCGAATCTTATGTCCATTTCTATGTATTTTTAATTATGTGGATTAACTTTAATCGAACTTTATATTTTTTTTTTTTTAACTGTCAGAATTATTAAAGTTAATCTACATTGATGGAAATGGACGCTTATGTTGCTAAGCCGATTGTGCGGAATAAATCGTGCAAAAGTAAAACCGCGTGAAAAACACAGCTGTTTTGCGAAGACTATTCAGAAATTTGAGAAAAATACGCATATGAACGGTAAATTGTAAGAACATTAACGATTCTAATGAAACTTGTACTTTGAATGATTTTATAAATTGCAGAATTCGAATGAAAATATCTGAATATCCAAAGTTATCCAGGAATAATAAAAAATTATAAATATTCGTTAAACATTCTTAATCATTCGTAGTTTTATTCTTCTCAGTCATCCTTTTTTTTTTGCTTAATCATTTAACCATTTTAACAGTTGTCTAAAATACAAGTTTTATCGCAATATTTTATCAATGCAGATTCTCAATTTACTTCACCTTATGTATATATATTTTTTAAATGAATCATGATATCATAGTCCGATAAAGTTACAACAGTTTTAATTGTTTATGATAAATTTAATCCTATCCTTCTATATATCCAACGCAATATTAATGTTAGTTATTTCTGGAGAATTTATTATAGACATTTAAAAATTAACGCATGGCTCATCCTATCTGTACAAACATAAGGGGTTAACTATTGCAACTATATAAACTAAGAAAAGCTTGAAGAAACTAATTCGCAGCTCTCGCGTGATTGCGAAATTCTAGAGAAATACCAAAGTTACAATACAGACACCTTAATTAGACAAACTAGCAAACGTGAAACTTGCTAACGAATTTACCGAATCCCTTCACGCGATGCCGGAATATACATAAGATGTTCCACTTTTGCTGTCATTTAATAATTCTTCGACTACTTCGCTGTGACCCAACAAAACCATCGAGGAACATCGTACGTTGCATTCTTTAGTGTGTTGCATTCTTTAGTTGCATTCTCTAGCATTACAAATTTCTGTAATCCTCTGTAAAAACCGTAAAGGATTGTAAACTGAATTTTTTACGAGCGAGACCCGCTTTAACTAAACTAACCAGAGCAGGTCGCAAAATGATTAAAAGCTTTATCCTTTATGCAACGTTAACACGTTATGAAAATACGTGTGTACAGGTAAACTTAAATAAGCGCAAACATTTTACGCACGATTATGTCTGTGTCGCTTATGACGAAGTACGAAGTGGAGAGGAAGCGCTCTTTTGGGAGATTGTGTCACCCTTCGCATTATCATTGTCCTCCTAATTAACATCCATTAAAATTAACGGGGGCGCGGAGTGGCGCGGATTACGACAGAGCTGCTTCGCTGGAACTCGCGACCACCATATGGGAGGGTGACTCTCGCAAACGGACGACAGTTCGTTACACGTACGCATATACATGCGCATACGTATATATTACATTGTACGTACAGATTGGCTCGGGTCAATAACGCGCATACTTAACGCGTACCGAGTCACATATAGCACGCCGATGACATTTAGAGACACGCGTTTTCAACTCGGCTCGCGGCTATTCAGGGCCGAGCTGTTTTCACGGAGCGGCTTTTATGCGGTAGTTAAGATCGCGTCCTCTTGAACCCTCCGTTTCTCGCGATTATTTATCTTCCGTTCGAGCCCTTCGAGCCCTTTACCTTCCTTAGTGGAAACTTTTGCCATTTTATCTTGTGCCATTTTATCCCGCGTTTGTCCGAAAGATCTCAGAAATGGGAAGCGACATTGAACATCTCTCGGTATTTTCGCCTCGTATTTCTATTCTGTGTCTCGTCTCAGTTAAAATAAAGGAATAAGGAACGAGGGAAATTACTCTGGAACGAGGTAAATTCGATGACGAAGTTTTTGTTGGTGTTCCGGGGAGATGAGATTTCACAACTTTCTATTTACTTTGCGGAGACAATGAGTTTTGTCTCCGAGTTTCCAGGCAGATCCGGGACGCAAACGGAAGCTCGTTCTATATTCTATGCGGGGCGCATTCCGGGTGCGAATGAGGTTTCAGTCAAGTTTATAATTGAGGAAACTCCGTAACGTGCGTAGAGGGAATGCGGGCTCGGCGCCCGATCGAAATATTCCCTATTTAAAATTCATCGCACTTATATCGCCGCGTGCGTATTTCCCATTCGTACGGGAAGAGGCCGTACGCGACAATCTTTTTGTTTTATTAATAACCCCACGTTTCATTCGGAATGCATTAAGGTCGGGGCTGAAGCTCGCCTCGATCCCGTAGGGGTAGCCACTCGTCCCCGGGGAATCATCGCTCTTCTCGTCGATCGACGTGGTAAAATAATAATTTGTAATGTTCACTGAATACGAACGCCTATTGACGCCTATGGGCGCCTTATCTAAACACCCGTGGAAAAAAATTGCGATGTTCATGCGGCAATTTAATAACATTCCGCGACGCGAAACTCGAGTCCGACGCGGTCCTCGAGTTGGCGAATGACGAATCCCGGATACAATCGGCGGGATTTCTCATTGGTGAAATATGTTTGCCTTAAAGTCCACTTATATATGTCCTGTCTAAACACGCGGGAAAGAAGGAAAACTGCGACATATGCGTAATTAATAACATTGATGGTCGGGGAAGGAGGAGGGGGGACCACCACATTGTCGCCGGTGGTTCGATACGGTTTTGATATATATATATATATATATATATATTTCGGATATATGTATTTCAATATATGTATATATGAACGGCGTACGGATATCGAATTCTTAATCAGAATTGAAGCTTTTATGGATACGATGCTCCCCGTGTTTGCGGTATAAATTACATGCGAAATGAACGTGGGCGATCATATATAACGAAATGTGGCACAATATTACACAATCGATCGCCGAGCACGACCGCTGTACGATGTTTCCTCCGCATTTCTGGCACGCGGACGCAATTTCTTGTCGCCCGTGCGGACGAAAATTTTCATCCGGAACCGGACGCGCGTTAACTCGCCGACGTTTTTCCCATTTAAACCGTGCGAAAAGGGGGATTTCGCGTACACGGGGTATTACAAAATATTTCCTCGGAGGCCGCTAAAGTCGGAAGTAAACCTCTTTCGTGAAACTCAACGTGCGTTCTCTCTATATAATAAATAGGATGTCAATAGCTTGATCTCCTGGGAGACGAAACTCCTCAGACAAGCGTTTGAGGAGATCTGAGAAAAGTCTTTCATTTTTCTCCTTGGGAAGGGTTGGTACATAAAAGTTCGTATTCTCGAACGACTTTTATGAAATCTGGCGACACTTATTCAGAACTTATTTACTTTATTATTTATTTCTCACGGGTGAATGGAGATGGATTTCAATCACTGAAAAAAACATTGGTGGGATAAATTTTGGATGGAATAATTCTACGAGCCTCGAGCGAAAGAAACAACGCGTAAACAAATTGATACGTTTTGCTTTACGTGTTGTTCCCGATGCACTATTCTATCAAGCGTTTCGCTAATTGAATTTTTCAGAAACCGTGCGCTCCGGCTGTTGTCGCGTGAGCGGCGGGATCGCGTGTTTGCTCAATTATCCCAAAAGCTTCCCGTACGAGGGGGCGCTGTCGCATTACCGTATTTATTAATTCCCTGTTTCGGATCCCTGACATTAATACGTTATCGTCGTAATTTAATCATCTCGCAGCGACCGTGCCATCGAGCGAGCGTATCGACCTTTCCGGACTTTCATTTCCACGAAATGAGATTGAGCCACGATCGAGATGCGTGCACATTTTTAATTATTCTCTCTTTTATCAAACGGACTCGTGTTTCGGCTTTTCAGAGGCTTGCCATCCGTACGAACCGTTCAAATGCCCGGGCGACGGTATTTGCATCTCGATACAGTATCTCTGCGACGGGGCACCCGATTGTCAGGACGGATACGACGAGGACTCAAGATTGTGCACCGCAGGTAAGCGATGAATTAATTAATTAATTAATTAATTGATAAGATGTAATCAGTAAGTGCTATTTATCCTTGAACAAGGACCAGTCTCGGTCTGATTTTACGCTTGAATAAACTGACTTGCAGCGAGAGCGCGGAACATACGGTCTGATTTTTTAATACGGTTTATACTTTTAATATATTTTCCCCTTCCCCCTCTCTCTTTTTCTCCATAGAGATACTGTGTGATTTTGTGGCCCGTAAGTTTCATTTTTATTTTATTTTATGTACGAGAGAGGCAGCGAGTGCGTTACCGCTCGGTGTGGATGCACTCGATCACGTTCCGTGCAACTGCACCGGGCAGCTATAACGCGATAAGGGAAGGTTACTACCGTTTTATGCTCGTACGATGCATTTACGCAGGGTGTTTTACCCTGTTTTCATATTTTTTTCCGATCGTTTCCATAAATATCAATTAATCAGGTTCGAATTCAATTTCGCCTTGTTTTCCATTTTAAAGATAATTATCGGAAAGAGGAAATTATTGCCACTTAACTTTAAGTGACGTTTATGAACCTGATATTTTTATTATCGATCCCCGGTACGCTGGGTTTTTACATCGCGCATTTATTTTCATTTATTTTAAAGCAGATACGGAATTTACTTATTTTCGCTGTTGCAGCCAAACGACCGCCCGTGGAAGAAACCGCGAGTTTTTTGCAATCTCTGCTGGCCAGCCACGGACCCAATTATCTGGAGAAGCTGTTCGGAACCAAAGCACGCGACACGCTGAAACCGCTCGGTGGTGTGGAAAAAGTAGCCATTGCGCTATCCGGTAAGTTCCTCGAATAATAATTAATAATTTGCGATGAAGCGAATTTTGCGGGACGCGACATTAAATCAAGCTTGTCCGTCTTGTTTCTCCGATATCACCGCGACGCGGTGCGGCGATAAATCTTTCCCGCGTATCGGAAAATCTATTAAAAGCAGCGATATCGCCGCTCTACGTAGAACGAAATCGCGAGTAATCTGATTTGGCATGGAAAAGTATCGATCCTACCGCGTAATCGGCATGAATTATATACGCGGTGATTCCGCGAGAAGAAAGACTTTTTTCGCGCCACCGCTCCACCTTCGCAAGAACTCGTCGTCCCGTATTCCCCTGGCCTTTGACAATCTGTTTCGGCCATCAGAATCGCAGACGATCGAGGACTTCGGCGCGGCGTTGCACCTGATGCGCTCGGACCTCGAGCACCTGCGCTCGGTCTTCATGGCGGTGGAGAACGGCGACCTGGGCATGCTGAAGTCCATCGGTATCAAGGACTCCGAGCTGGGCGACGTCAAGTTCTTCCTCGAGAAACTCGTTAAGACGGGCTTCCTCGACTGAACGATCACGCCCGCCGTCGAACCGCCGTCGTCGTCGTCGTCGTCGCCATCGTCGTCGTCGTCGTCGTCATCGTCATCGTCGTCGTCGTCATCGTCGTCGTCGT